GCCGAGGGAATGTCATCTAGGGCAGGGGGTCTCTGGCCCTTTGGAGAATCTGATGCATGGTACAGACTGTCTTCTCTGGAGAAATACACGCAAGAGACGCTGCACAGTGTTTCCGGGGGCCTGCAGCCATCCCGCCCTCGCAGCCACAGACCCCAGCGGGAGAGCCTACAATCAGGGGACAGGAGCGGAAAAGAAACCTTGGGAAAGAAAATGGGAAAGAGCTGAGCTCCTGGGCGCGGTCCTGGGCATGTGGTGAGTGCCCAGTCAATAACTGATGGTTTAGATATTTCATCGGTGGGTCTGCTTTCCCAGTGGATACACAGAATTTACTATTTCCATTCGGTCATTGCTAATTTGAACACCGCAAAGACAGGTCGGATCCTACTTCAAAAGATGCCGTTACACCACGAGAGAATCTCTCTAGAAGATACTTAAGTCCTGACGACGGCCCAGTTTGTAAGAGAAACTGACCCGGCTCTTACATGACAGTAGGGCTCTGGAATCTTGTAGACATCATGCGTATAGAAACATAATCATATTTTCAGTGCAAGCGTGGTACATATTGCTGAGAAATCCATGCAAAGCAGTGATTTCTCGATAAAGTTCATGGTCATTCCCTTGCCCGAGGTGAAGGATGGCCCTTGCAGCCTCAGACAAAAACGCTGCACTCATGGCCTCTGTTTCCCGTGCACCTGTTGGACTGGAGAATAGTCTGATTTCTTATCAAATGCAGCTTGGAAGCTTTTTAAAAATTATTGTGTTAGTCGTGATGGTTTTTTTTTTGACTCGTGTGCACCGCAGATGACAATCAAGAAGTGCTTTGGATGAATTTGGGGGTTTTTTCAGGGTTAGAGGCTGGAGGGACCATGATCTAAACCCCAGAAATTTTCCCTCGCTCCTGGCCTGGCTCCTGGGGACTTTACGTAGCATTCTCTCTGGAGCAACTTTCCAAATTGCTTTCAGAGCAGCAAACATCTATATTCACTTGAAGGTCGGAAAGTGCTGGTTGTTAATAAGAAAGAATTTAATGAGAAGCAGAAATATGATCTTAGCTCCTGTCCCCACCTACTCGGGCTTCCACTTCTTAGCATGCCACCTACGTATAGCCCGCGCCATGGCTCTGCACGCATTTTACATTTGGAGAATAATTATGAAAATCAGATTACGTGCAGCTGCCCTCATTACAGAAAACCATTTGATTTGCTTTTGAACTGTGGCTTCCAAAGAGTCCAGGTTTTTATCACCTTAATTAAGAATAAGGAACAAGCATTCTATGAGCACGTGCTGATTCCAGGCCCTGGGCGGGGCGCCACACCGGGTGGTCTCAGGCAGCCTCAGTTCCAGGTTCTCTTGCCATTCTTTCCACCTTCCCCACAGATGGACAGGCACTGGGCACCACAGGAAGATGTAATTTGTCCTAACACTTCAGCTGAGGCAAACCAAGCAACCTTAAAGGTAATGAGACAGGAGAATGGATAAGCCTGTGGGTATATGCATACAATGGAATTCTAGCGAGCAATCAAAAAAGAGCAATGGCGCGATGTATCTCAAAAACGCGTTCAGCAAAAGAAGCCAAGTGCGGGACTTCCCTGGTGGCACAGTGGTTAAGAATCTGCCTGCCAACGCAGGGGACACGGGTTCGAGCTCCGGTCTGGGAAGATCCCACATGCTGCGGAGCAACTAAGCCCATGCACCACATTGCTGAGCCTGCGTGCCACAACTACTGAAGCCTGCGCGCCTAGAGCCCGTGCTCCGCAACAAGAGAAGCCACCGCAATGAAGAGACCGCGCACCGCAACAAAGAGTAGCCCCCGCTCGCCGCAACTAGAGAAAGCCCGTGTGCAGCAACGCAGACCCAACGCCGCCAAAAATAAATTAATAATAATAAAGAAAAAGAAGCCCAAGTGCAAGGGTGCATACTGGGGGAATCCACTTATTTGAAGTTCAACAGCAGGTGGCCTCTTTTCTACGTTGAGAGTGGTCACCTTCAGAGGGAAAGGGTCTTGGCTGGATATGGGCACCAGGAAACGCTGGGTGATGCACGTGGGCCGCAGGCTTGGGCGGGGGGGTCACACGGTTTATACCTAAGTAAAAAGCCATCACCTGGTACACTGGAGAGTTGTGCCTTTCACCGTGTATCAGTTATACCTCCATAAAGGCTTGGGGAAAAGAAAATAAATAAATGATACCCCTAAGCAGGATCATTTGAGCTCTCTACCTTACCTGCATTTGGGTTTCGTTCCTTATCGATGTGTCTCCTGTGATAATACAGCAGCTCAGGAAGCATTTAAAGGGAGTTTTATATAAAAGCTGCATGCCTTCTCTCATTTTGCTTCCGTGTAACTAAAAAGAAGAGATATTTTTCAAAAAATGAAAAACAGGGCTTCCCTGGTGGCGCAGTGGTTGGGAGTCCGCCTGCCGATGCAGGGGACATGGG